CTCACGGCCAAAGCAACCCAAATCAATTCCACGAGGATCTTTGATTACATAATAGAGTTTAAAATATAATCATAATTTTGGGATGACAAATTTGATCCACCAACAATCATCCAAGTAATTCAAGCCCAATAAGAAGGACCAAATCAAATTAAACAACCCTCAATATGTCTCACGGGTAGGAGTAGGAAACCATCCGACAGCTCTCAAATAAGGACAACACAACACACCAAGACAAGTTCTCGAGCGAGGGCTTAGAACAAACCAAATCAAGCCCCCAAGCCACCTCTCGGGTAGGGACAAGTATAAAGCACAAACATAGGCTCTCGGGTAGGAGGTAAACCAGCAAACCGAGCCCCCAACCAGAGCTAAAGGACAAGCTTCTGAGGCTAATAAATGAAACTCAAATCATTAGGACAAAACCTCAATTAAAACCAAAGCCAAAGGCCTCGATGAAATCAATATCCCATGCTTCAATAGTGCAAACCGAGTACCAACAAGAACTTAATCGAACCGCAGCTAAGGCTCAAAACCAGACCACAACAAAGGCTAGAGAACATCCTCATGCCCTTGAAACATCAAAAACATAGGGCCACCACGTGTTTCATATAAGAACAGCTATAGAACTTTTCCAAATCAAGGTAAATTTCTTCATAGCATGCATTTTTTTCAAGCCAAAAAAGAATTATAAGATGCCAAAACCGAGCATTCCACATGTGTGAAAGACCAAATAAACTTTCTAATATTCCATGCTAGATAAGAATAAATGAAAAGCTTCATGATACATATGCTAACATGCTTGCAAGAGAAGCTAACATTGTCTCAAAGCCATGTTTCAACCTTCCTAATTGCTTTCAATAGAAACATGCCACAGTAAATAGAAACATGCCATAGTTTCACCATTTTAAGCAAGTAATCAAGTCTAACTCCTAAAAGAAGCTCACATTTCCATTTCTAGATGCTCAAGTAGCAAATATTTTAAAATATAGGTGCAATATCAGACTAGCATGCTGTACCATCCAAAGAAAACTATTCCAAGCAGCCTGGTCGAGAGAAACCGAAAGGGAGCAAGGCGCAGAGGAGGGGAGGAGTTCCTCTTTAAAGCAGAATCCAACACAAAAGTTTCAGAAAAATACTTCCCAACTCAAACTCCTTTCCAACAGCAAGAGGAAGCCAACCCAAGCACTAAAAATTAAAGAAGAAAGTGAGAAAGAAATTTGACAGAATTTTCCCTTACTCAGAGATTTTTTTAATGCTCTAAGTCGAGTCCTATATAGACGAGAGAAAGAGAAGAAGCGATCGAAGGATCATATTCGGCTCGAGGAAACGGGAGGAGCAGACGCCCCATACGGGCGTGCGAGAGAGGCAGAGGATGAGATCCTCGCAGATGATGAGATCCGATATGCGGGAACGAGCCGTTTCAACACCACGAAGAGGGAGCGGGCCAGGCGACCAAACGAGCCAACCCTAAGGCCCACGAATCGTGACAAAGAAGAAGGGAGGGGAAGAAAAATAAAATTAGGTTAGGGATTAATATAAGTTATTAATTATAATAATAATAATAATAATAAAATATTATTTATTATTATAATTAACAATTAAATGTGTATCTTTCCCCAGACACGTCGTCGTAGCGAAACAAACGTCCCCCCTAGGCAAAATTGACGTTTCAGACGCGTTGGCGCAGTTCGTTACGTCAACTGAAGTTGTTTAGACAGCCTCGTCGACGATCAGGATAAAAAACGCGTCGCGACCCGAATCACGTCAAAAACTCGGCTCGAGCTCAATTAAACAAGACGGTGCGGAGTGCGATAATGCCAGGTCAACTCATACAGCCAATCCTAAGGCCAACAGTCTTATAGGGATTCTTCTTGAGCTTCTTCACAGTAGCCCCACTTACTAGGTGCTAGAGGCCAAAACTACTATGCGGAACTTCAAGTTGAGCGAATAAAAGCTTGGAATTTCTAACGGGGAGGGTTCCTTCGCTAGTTTTCTAGGAATAGTCGATAGGAAAGTCCTATGGCTAGATTCTAGACTGTAAAAAAAAAGAGAAACTAAGTCTCAACCAAAAGTGAGGTCAACAACCACCTTCCAAACCCTTGTAGATCATCACTGCCACCCTCTATATCCACCCCTTGTCGAGTTTTTGTTGTTGTTGTTGCAATTTTATATTTCAGTATCTTTGAATGTAATTTTCTTATTAGATTTTAGTAATATGATTGGCATTTCTTGTTGTTTTTTTTGTTAACTCCAATATCATAAAATTATTTCCATAGGTAAAAACCTCACCTCAAGTCTACAAGGTTTGTTTAGATGATGCAAGCTATGGCATTTAGCATGGATCTTTTCGTCAAATTAGACCAACTATATCCTTTGATGAAGTAGATTAGAATACATGACAACCTTGGATGGCGTACTTATGACATTTTGATTCATTTCTTCATCATTCCCTGTACCATTTGCTCTTAAGCTAAAGGTGGCTTATGTTCTTACAATCTTAAAATCAAATTACTGTTATGATAAACTATACACTTAGCATCTAATCATTAGCCTTAATTTAGAGTTCTCTCTCGTCACTGGGATGGGTGATTAACTAAGCTTGCTTTTATAAAAAGATCCAGAACTAGATTATAAAATCTTTCGAAATAAATGTGAAAATCTTTGGATAATATTTAATTTACACACAAATTTGCCTTTTGAAAAATTTACTTGGAACAGAACTCTCATAGAAGTGTCGGGCGTAAATTTTTTGAGCCCAAAAAATAAAGCAAACGAGCTAAAGTCTCCCTAAGACACGCCATCAAACAACCTGACTATTTTGCACATCCAACCTCAAATACAACTTTTATAGTCTTCCACATCCATCCTCAAATACAACTTTTATAGTCTTCCACATCCAACCATAAACATTGGAATCCAAGGTTATAAAAATAGAACCCCGATATCAAACCATAAAAAATAAAGGTTCAAGATTCAATGGTTCAACAGGGTAGAACTACATGACGTATTAAATATTTATAGTATTTAAATATAATTTAAATAATAAAATAATGATTATTAATATCATTTTTATAAATTCAGCAAATAAATATTCTAATTTTAAACTACTTTTGAATATATTGAACAATATTCTAAATAAAAAATTTAAGGCATGATATTTCTTCTTTATTTTTTATTTAAATATTATATTTCTAGTCATGCAATAAATATCAAAAGACTAACATTGAATAATATTTGAACTGTCCGGTTCTTTAAAATTTGGACTAGCTCAACCCCAGTTCAATGTCGATTCTATGCAGAAATGGTTTTGAGTTTGAACAAAACTGATTGAACTTGTTTACGGTCTAACCGACGGTACGGATCGATTTTTGAAACCATGTTGGAATCATAGGAGTTGTTGGGACCATCTTAAGCAACATGCTAAAACAACCATAGAATGTTGCAATGAATATATGTGATACATTAAATAATAAAACTACAATAATAACTGTGAGAAAGGTGCTACAAAACCTAGAGTGAAGCACTTATTATAATCCCACCGTGTCACTTTGATTGAAATGTCAAAACACCCTTTTATTGATTCTTAATTTATCTTATATCTAACCAACCCTTTCCTTCATATTTCCTCGCTATCTTCTTAACCCCCTCCCAGCCAACAAATAGTGTATTCAGGTGATCGGCCCAAAAGTTAAAGTTGCGGGCGGCCACCCACTTCCTCCTTTTCTTCTCATCTCATCCTCACTCTAACCTCTTTCCCTTCCTCTCTTGCTCTGTTGGTGAACCTTTTCCCCATCTTCAACAAGGTTATTGTGATTAAAAAAACAAGCTCTTAACATTGATGTGCTGGAGGCTAAATGATGCTTTATGAAGAGCATATCCAAAGTTTCAAAGCATTAGCAAGCTTAAACCTCGAGTTTGACTCCTTGGAGGCTATTTTTTCTTTGCTACTTCGGAACTTGATTATTTCATGGTGTTTGGAAAGGAAGGTTGGGGGAAGGCTATGAATCCTACACTTATTTTTTATTTTTTATACAAGGCCATGTAACTCTCTTATTTGTTGGACACATGCTCGACATGCCATCTACCTGCCCAATTAAATTAAATAAATAAATAAAAAAATAACGAACAGGCATGTTTGACACATGTTTTGAATGTAAATTTTAATTTTAAAAGTATTTTACATAAATAACTTAAATTAAGTCATATCTTCTCTTTTATTTTAAAATTTACTACTTTTAAGTAGTAGTTTAACTTTTTAAATTTTTTTTAAATTTTAATAATGTTTATTTTCTCTTAAAAAATAAGAATCACACCATCAACGGCTAGTGGAATAGACTTCTTGTGTATATATTGTGGGGGCTTCATGAGGTTTTCTGTTGTGTTTTTTGAGTGTAATTGTAAGTGGTTATGACTCTTCTGTTAGATACTTATGATACCTGTGGCATCTGTAGTTTAATCTAATCGATGGTAGTTGTTCTTGAATTATTTTTGGAGTATAAAATTGGTCCAGGACATTCGGAAATGTCATTTTGTTGATGGTGATTTAGGTGATTTAAGGCATCTTAATATATTGCTTGTTCTCTTAGATTTATAACCTAATAAATGAGATGCTTATTAATCAATTGATGTAGGGATACTTTCCCTCAAGTGTTTTTTTCCCTTTAATGATTCAAATATATGGCCACTTATAATGTTTAAGGACATACCGCGTTGCAGAAAGGTTGGCAGTTACCACCAGTTTTTTTTTCTTTATGCATGCACTTGTTGGACTCTGGTGTTCAGTCTTGAGCCCTGCTCCATTTATTTTCTTAACTCTTGATACTTCTGCGTACCTGTTTTCTAAATTGGAATTGCATATCTTTCTATATTAATTTAATGCAAAACCAATTGTGTTCAAGCTATGCACGATATGGGTTGCTCCATTTCAACTCTCTTATTTTGGTAAATATCACACACCACTGTTTTTACCTCCAAGAAATATTCATGTTTTGTTAGTATTCCAGGTTTGGGAAGCGAACTATGGATGGAATTGTAAAAGATGGTATTAACTCCCTAGTTCGATATTACCTTAACAACTTTGCAGATGGGATTAAGCAGGTATGCAATTTGTTGTACTTTATTATATTGTTAAATGGATGATGTTTTACAGAGATGAATTCATGTGATATGCTATTTGATTTATGTTAGACCGCATTTTCTGATGACGATGTTCTTATAATTCTAAGGTAAAATGTAGGCAACTTTTTCTTAATGCTTTTAATGGTACTATTTCAATCATTTATCATATAACTCAGTAAACAAGGAACTTTTTTTATGCTTTTTAAGTAGCGTTGTAGTTGATTCATTATACTATAAAGACAAGAAAATCATAATAAGGGATGCTGCTTAGCATTTTTTAAATATGTTGGTGCTAGCTTTTAAACAAATTCGTTAAATCTTTAGCAAAATTGATGTGCAGATGTATATCTTTCTGGTGCCAGTTGTTTCTCTAAAGCTATGCTTCATTAAAGAATGGCCTACTTTGGCTCTTTTTGCTATTTTGGAGCTTAATTAATTGATGAACTCCATTTTCATTTACTTTTGTTAGTAAATTTGCCTTTGGTCAACCTAATTTGGACCTTATTCATAGATTCATATATGCTTTACATTTAATTAATGATTTCCCCATGGAACTTCTTGGTTGTGACTATGTGATTTATCAAAGTATCATTGGAAGCAAATTATGCTATCTTTTCTCATAGATCATATTTTGAGAATGCTCTTTTGTGCACACGCTGAAATGATCTGCATAGTTTGAAACTTCAGTGGTATCTCCTATTACCTTGTTATGTTTAATTTTCCCTTATCTTTGAGCCCATTACATTAGAAAATGTACACTACTCTTGTTTCAATTTTTGGCAAAGCAATACAAGTAGATGCTGCTATTGCTAGTCTTTTAAAGCCAGCTTTTGTCAGAGCTCTTGTTGAAATAGATTTTTTTTTCTCCTTTGAAAATAGAGAAATATTTCTACTTCATCATATTGTATTAGCAAAAGGTGGAATTTGCTGGCTTAATCTCATATTGTTAGTCTTGCAAAATGTCTGGCCATGTTCTAAAGATTAGGTTTCTTGTTCAAATGGGTTATGTTGAATACAAACAGATGATATTTCTCATGCCTCGCCTCTGGATTGCTCCTGTCACGGCCTGATTTAGGGCTTGGAATTAACCGAGGTGGGAAAGTATGGTTGAACGGTGATAATTATGTTTTTCAATTTTTCATTTTTTGTAACTAACAATTTAAAATTCAAATGAAATGAAAGAGCCCCTAAAGAAGGTAATACAATTAAATTTATCTTAATTTAGTTGTATACCCTTTTGTAGATATTCTCTTATTTATTGCTCATTTTGACTTACAATTTTAACCTGGAAATATTAATTTAAAATAAAATCAACTAACAAATTAGTGAAAACTCATAGTTCTGAACTGCGGTGACATAATAAAAAAAAATAATGTGCATGTCAGTCAAAATTTTTAATAAATTAATATAAGAGCATTTGACAACTTATATTTATTAATGTGATTGATCTAGATTTTTCAAATCTTTATTGTCATATGTTAAGACTTTGTTAAGAACTAAATGTTTTAGATTCGATTAGGAGAGATGTTTTAGATTTGCCTTATTTTAAGAAAGGCAGAGGTAGAGCTAGCAAGAATTGGGCTTATTGTATAAAAAATGATCTTAATTTATTAGAATTAAATAAAAATATGACACTAAATAGGACGCAATGGAGAAAAAGGATTCATGTAATCGACCCCACGTAGTGGGAATAAGGCTTTGTTGTTGTTGTTGTTGTTGTTATATTGCCATATGATATTTTTTTCATGTCTATATAATTTTATATACGCTCATCACATGAACCGTCTAAAACTTGCATCAACCAAGGTACATCATTATCAATAATAATTTTCATTTACATAAATGAGTATCATAGCATCCCATAGTGTGATTGTCAAATTTTAAGATATCAAGTAAATTCAACAAATTCTAAAAGTATCTCATATTTCACACCCCTCAGAATGTGCTCGAAGTAATTTAATAAAATTTTAGGCATGAAATCAAACAATTCGATATAAAGCACTACATATAAATTATGAATGATTTTGGAAATATAAAAGTTAAAATTTATATGTTTTATTCACTTAATTAATCCAAATTTCTTCCCTTAATCCTACAACTTCACTGTTCACAACTGACTTTACTTCTTTTATTTACTAGTTTTGGTTGATTAGGGCATGCGAGCTTTGATTTCCTTCCCCTCTCTCTATATCTTCCTCTCTTCCCTGACCTTCCTCTCCATGTTCGGCTTCACGCGACCTGGGGGTATTTTCGCGAGAAGCAGCACCTGGGCATTGTAGCAGGTCGCGAACAACAAGGGGTGAGCAGCTACCCAAGTGCCGCAGAACATGATTTAGGGTTACGAGGTGATTTTGGCGGGTATGAATCCCTCTTTCACGTCATTGAAAATTTAATTTCCTTCCTCACTTTCATTTGTGTTTTTCTCGTCGAACTTGTATCAGAAGCGTCGAAAGTGATTTGAAAGCTTTCGTAGGAGTTTTAACATGATATCAACGAGGAGAAAGTAAAGATTAAGGTGTTTGAAAGTGTTGGTGAGAAATTTGGTGTTTTCGAAATTGCAAATTTATCCTGAAAAGTTTTCTTGAGGCATGTTTTGGCTATTAATTTATGTGTTGTGTTAATTCATGCTTTGATGCAATTTTTATGAAATCATATGTTGTTGACGAGCTCCAAGTTGCCTATACAAGGCGGCGAGCTCACGACAAGCATGTAGACACTCGCCCTAGGACTGCTTCATGAAGTTAGGTCAAATGATCTCGTGCTAATTTAAGAAAAATAATATTCTTTAGGTTTTATATGATTTTTATTTTGACAGTGATGCATTTAGAACTTCCTGCATATTGTGAATGAATTGCAATATGAATAATTGCAATTGAAAAATAAATGCATGTTTGCTTTTTTTACGAAATATGTGTACTATGATTATGCTATATTACATATGACTATGTATATGATATGATTTTTTTACAGGTATTCATTTGTTATGCTTTATGCATATGCCTATGATACATGTAATGCCTGATAAATGCTTGATGCGGGAGTGATAATTTAAATTTCACGAGTAATTTTATGGTTAGACTATTATTGGAGTGTATAAATGCATATTATGTAGAAATGTAGTATTCCTGGCTCCTGGTATTTGTACAGGGACGAAACTCTAATAATTGTTGAAATTAGGCGATGATAAAACCTTAGGGAACCGTGAGTATCAGAGGGGCTGTCGATAATCGTTATGTTGGGGGACCTAACGTTTATCAATAGTTTATATGACTTTTGGGGCAGGGTGACAACCCATGATGAAAGGACATGAAAATAGTTGAAACCTATACATTAGACAAGTGACATTATTAAGATATCCTTTTAAATGACATTTCTCTAATAATATACTATGAACATGTTTTTTATTATACTTATGACTTCATGCTTACTGTCGTTCAACTTTTTGAAAATCGAAAATATTGAAAATAATTTTGAAATTTAATTTAAATATAAGAGGTATATAGTTTGGGTTTTGAAAGTAGCGTGTTTTAATTTTTGAAGAATGAGACCAAATGGATCTTATTCGTCCAATAGTTTGCATAATCGTGCCCGATACCGTGAATACTACATATTTCTAAAAGGTGAGTGTATATCTCGGCGATAGACTCAATCCTGCAAACTAAGTGATTTGTAAAATTCGTTTGGTCTGCGAACCTTTTTATGTGTGGCCGACAAGTTCCCCTATCTATTACAAAGATTATATATGGTTTATTTTACCTGGGTTCCAAGTTTCTTATAGAGGCAAGCTCATATAGTTAATTACATCCCAAATGACGGGAGTCACTTGAGAAAACTCTCGATATTGATTAAAGGTACTAGCCTTCAAGATTTCAAGGTTTAAGTTTTCACGGTAGGACGTGGAAAAGCAAGTGAGAGTGTCTTAAATAGGAACAATTATTTTCAGGAGTCCAAAGAAAGGAAAAGATAGGGGATGTCACGGATCTTGAGGAGAACCCTCAGTGACTTCCCTAACTATCCTACTGTGCGGCTGCATTTTAGAGATGATGTTATTCAATTATTCAATCCTTTCAATTTTATTATTTGAGACTTACATTTACATAATACTTAGTTATGCAAATAGCCCGCAGAGATAAGAGGGTTTACGTCGTTCTGGACGACAACCTCGGAACCTAAGGCGAGTTAGGACTTATACTGCTCAGTATGATTGTGCAAGACCTAAAAGAATGTGAGGATTTACATCGCGCTGGGCGAGCTACCTCGAAATCCTATGTGTCGTTTATATTAGGAAATTTTAACTGATGTAAACTTGTCTTGCTGTTGTAGAATGACGACCACATCGACTTGAAGACCGCTCTAAGCTCCTCGTCGAAGTAGCAGTCGTAAAGACTAAGGTTTAAAATATTGTACCGTGTGTGATTTAAGTTTTGGTTTTGTTGTCATTATGGGGGGTTAAAGTTAATTAGAGCGACACCGGTTAAGATCTCACGGTTCCTTCATTCCGGTACCACTATTTTCTTTTAAACTTACTTAGCTTAAACGAGTTGTGAAACTCATTTAAATCGAGGAGATCTCGTTAGCAACCGTGGGTTACCTCCTCCGAAGAACTCCCGTAAATTCAAAAGTACGTGTTATGATTTTGTTTTGCTATTTTTTTTAAATGTTTAATTTTTGAAAACCGTTTTGTTTTAAAAATGAAATCGCAATCAGTACCTGCATAATATGTTACAGTAAGAGTAAATTGGAATGATAAAACAACAACAAATAAAAATGTGTTTGTGTATGTGACATATCTGTTGCTGCTGCGATGTCAGCATCATATGTGAAAATAAGCAAATGTAACTGAGAATTTAATGAGCGTATTAAATATGAGCTTCAACATGTAAAAGAACCGGTGACACAGAAGAGCTCCCACAACTCCAAACAACAGCTAGCAAGCCTAAGTAGTGGTCCCAAGGCCTCCTACAGCTCCGGGCAGCAGC